GTTGTACAAACTGTAACAATATGTTTGAATAAACAGACTTGAGGCATGACCTCACCTTAACTCCAAAAAAAAAAAAATAAAATAAAAATAAAATTTATAATTTTAAAATAATTAATTTTTTTTTTAAATTATAGATACAAATCAACAATCAATGCAACCATTTCTTGCACAAGAATATAGTTTAGTTGATAAATTTTATTACAAAAAAATCGTTTTAAGTGCAACAATTGAAAATGGATGGGCATTTAATTGGGTAAAAAAAAAATCATCAATTGCTATGCTTAAATATAAAAATCCAAATCTTGTAATACCAAGTTGTCACACTCTTGAAGATTATGTATTAAAAAATGCTATACAAAAACTTTATTTAGAATTAGCATCAAAAGCAATTAATAATAATATTGGAGTATCACTAGCATTTGATGGTTAGAAAAACATTTTAAAACAGAATATATTTGAAACAGTACTTATCACATCTTCTGGAGAAGTATTAGTCTAGAATGTTGAAGATATTAGTATAGAGCTTAAGTAAACTATTAATGTAATGTTCAAGGTTGAAAAATTACTTAAAGATTTAAAAGATTAACAAATTAAAGTTGCTGCAATAATTTCTAACTTTGCATCTGCTTATGCAGCTACAAGATATTATATATACTATTATTGTATTAATTATAAATTAATAACTAATAATATATATTTTAGATGCCGTATGCATAGATCTTATCGTGAAATTATTTTTCTCCCTTGTTTTGCCTATCAACTTAATTTAGTTGTAGAAGAAATCTTTAAAGAAAATACTCGATTTAATAATGCAATTAAAAAAGTTATTAAAATAACAAATTATTTTAATAATCCTAATAACTCTTATTTTATTGGTAAATTAAGAAATAAACAAAAAATGGTATACAAATGTTATATTGTATTAATTCACCTAGGTGAAACTCACTGGAACAGCTATTATGAAGCATTTGGTAGCCTTTTATGTTCAAAAGCATCACTAATTGTAAGAATTAAAATATAATATTTATAATTATAAAATTAGATTATTATTAAATATTTTTTATATTATAGTCTTTAGCTGCAAAATATGTATCACCTGAAGATGATGATCTAACTTTGTCAAGAAATATTTGTGAACCAATTGGAGATAATGATTGGTAGAATACAATATTAGAATTATATATTTTACTCTCACCTTTATGTATTTGTTTAAATCAACTTCAAACAAACACAGTATGTCTTTATGAAGTATTATATATTTTTGGTTATCTTTACAATTTAATAGATAAATACTCTGATATTACTTTTGGAATAAAAATGATAGAATGTTTAGAACAATGCTAGAGAAAATGGAAGCAACCTCTTTTAATTCTTAGCTTTTTGCTTCATCCTAATATTTGTCTTACTCAATTTAAATTACCAATTAATGATATTACATATGCTGAAATAGGAAAATGGATTATATATTACTACTGTGTTTGGTTTGGAGATCTACCAAAAAAAATTATTGCTGAATTACAAAACTATCGAGATGAATTGTTCCCTTTTTCAAAAAATGAATGAAACTTTTTTGAAGAAGATATTCTAAAGTATTAGAAGTATTATGCTGAAATTCGATCAGAACTTTCCTTAGTTGCATTATGACTTTATGGCATACTTACTAATAGTGCATCCATTAAGAGATTATTTTCATCTATGGGATTTTTTCATACAAAAACCAGAAATTGGCTAAGTGTAAGTATTAAATTTAGAACATGTTTAATTTTATTTTAATTACTTATTATAGTTTTATACTAATTTTAATTTTAGCCAGATAAGATCTTAAATATGAGCAAATTACATGCTTTGATGCTTTATAAAGATAGAATTGAAAAAATTAAAGATAATACAAATTTTGTGAATTCTAATATCACATCACCAATATTTCAAAATTCCGAATTAGAAGAAAATGATGAGCTATATAATGAATTGAATGAAAATTTTATTTCAAATACTGGAGAATAGTCAAGAGTATTAGATACTTGGTTCTCAATGATAAAGGATAAAGAAAATGCAAACCAATTGTATTATGAAGATGATAAATTAGATATGACCAATTCAACCACTAGTCAAAATTTATTAAATACAACTCATTCTGCAGATAACCAGTCTGCTAAATGGCAGTTATAAGATTTATTTATAACTGATTTAATCACACCACATTATATCATAGAGGCTGAAAAGCATGAAATGTTGAGAAGCAAAAAGAAATAGAATTTATTAGAGATGAAAATAGAATTGAAATAGATGAGAATAGAATTGAAATAGAGATAATAACGAATCATCAGCAGATAGTAATAATGATGAATTAATAGATAAAGATTAGTCATTTATTTTTGATAATTCTTTACTTGCTATTTGTAGAGAGTTTTTGATAAAGTTCATTTAGTTCTATTAATAGAAATGTAGGCACGAAATAAATAAAAACAAATAGTTGCTTAATTTGTTTATATTGCATGTTTTTTTATTATATATTATTTATCTTAGAATAGTAAAATAATGCATAAGTTTCAAGTAATGAATTTAAATAGACAAATTTTATATAAATAAAAATTTACTAATAGTTTTATACTTGATTCAAAAAATTTATAAACAACAGCTTATATTAAATCAATGTAAGATTTATTTTATTATTATTTATTTTATATAATAAAAAAATATTTGACTATAATATTGTTTTTTTTTAATAATTTATTAGAAATATATTGGAATGCTTTATAAGTATCAACTTTGATATAATATAGATGAAAAATATAACATTCTAATATGTTTTATTTTGAAAAATGATTAAGAAATATTGACTTTCTTTATACTATCAATTTGATATATAATGAAACTTATATAAGCAAATATGAAAAGTCACGAAGTTTAAAATGATATTAGTTTTAGCAATATGTTTATTTAAAAAATTGGGAAGCAACTTTATATAAATTAAAAAGGTATAAATATTTAAATATTATAGATTATTGTAATTTCCAATTATCAAACAGTTTAATAAACTCTTTCCGACGATCATTCGAACCAAACTTTTCAAAAAGCCGAACTACAGAAAAACGATATAGTTAATATATTA